TTTTTTCAATTCATCCTTAAGTACTACCAGCAAATGTTTGTTATATAAAGTAATTATAATAAATCTGTTAATGTCTACCACTGACAGGTTGTCTATGTACCACTGGTGGTACCTGCACTGTTGGCTACAAAGGACAAAACTCACAGGATCATTATAAATTATAGTTTCTTAGATAGGATTTGAGGTTTTAATAACATTATAAATGCAATTTTGGGGGGGTGGGGGTTATGAGAGGTACTGTCACCTTAGCACGTGAGCGTGCACACACACACACACACACACACATGCATTCACTCATTCAAATCCATGACATTTAGACCCATCTGGTATAATGTATGGTAGCTGCTGTAGTGATTGTGAGCGCTGGTGTCAGTATACCTACCTATCCGAGGCCCTGGAGTCTGCTTTTGATGGTCAGCTTTCTTCAAGGCGATGTCTTCTCCAGAAGGGGGTTCCCTGCTTATCCTCCTGTTTCGGTTAAGTCAGGTGCTGGATGAGAGGGCACCACTGAGGGTCACGCTTCCCCTGTCTATACAGGAGGGACAGGACAGGGAGGAAAGGTGGGGGGTGGTGCTCTACGTCAAGGAGGAACACACATCCTCATCAAGTAGCACAAGGTCAGAGGAGGGGCACACTGAAGTGCTCTGGGTTAGAATACAAGGACATTGAGGGGAAAGGGACATAGTGGTCGTGGTCTACTACAGACCACCCAACCAAGGGGAAGAGCTAGACCAGGAATTCTTCAGTCAGCTCACGGAGGTAGTTAGGCACTACTGCCCAAGTTGAGGGTGGAGTTGAACATGACTCCACCCTCTTACAGATGCATCTAACCTGTCTCTGTCCTTTTTTCCATCCCCATGAAGCCTCGGATGACCTTCCGTCTGTGACAGCCACAGTCAGTGCACTGAATTGTGTGTGGGAGGGAGGGACCCATCTCCTTATTTTCTCTTCAGTCCTGAAAGCAATTGGGAACCTGGACCCATCCTGGATGCTGAATGAAACCCAACACGGCCTGTAGGCATGGAAAGGGGCCAGAGTGACCCACAGTTCTGCTGCGCCAAGATTCAAGGGGAGGGCGTTTCAGCATCTCTGAGGGCAGCCTGCTGTTTCAGCAGATGAAGACCCATGGGCAAGGCCTGATGTTCCTGTGAGCAACACAGTGAATGGGACTGCTCTGTGTATATTGAAAAACCCCAGCTGCATATCACCCTTCTGCTGCAGGGGACAGGCACCCACAAAGCAGACAGCCCTGAGCCCAGGGATGGGAACAGGCACTGTATGAGCACAGATCTGCTGGACTATTTCATGTGGGCATCCGTTCCCCACCAACAGCCCCTTTTTTTATACAAGATCCCTATGTTCCTGCAGGCCAGAGATCACTCCGTTACCAAAAAATCCCAGCTACTCTACCAGGAAACAAGGGGCAAAGACCACAACAATTACCACATCTATGAGGATCATCAGAAAGGCGGCGGCAGCCATCAGCAATTAGCATCTGGTTCTGAGTATCAGTAACCAGCCGAGAAGGTTGAAAGTGTTGCAGGGAACTCCAGTGTCTCTTGCAGAGGTTGTCTGTGAAGAGTATTTCCATGTCCTGATTGCTAGATCTTATGCCTTCCCATGTGCATTCATATCTCTGAGCTTTTCCCTTCCCATGTGCTAGAACTAGACACCTGCGCACAATATTTGGCCAACCTAACTCACAGTCTTCTCCCATTAAAGTCAGATGGCTCCTGTGCTGTCTCGAACCAGCCACTGCTACAGCCATCATGTCTGCACCTTGTGGGGCTTGAGACATTTATGGTTTAATGCCCGTGCAGATGAGCATCATTTCAAGGCTTTAGTAGTGACCACATGCAAATGAGGTAGAGGAACTCCCTAATAAAGGAGAGGCTGACCCACATGGAAAAGCAGTGATGGAAAGCAGCATGGCAGGTTTGGGTGTGCTCCTCTTCCTGGCAGCTTGCTCAGGTGAGTGCAGAAGCAGCCAGCACTTGGTGAGCACAGGACCTTGTGGAGAGGAGGGAAGGTGGGACTAGGCTCCAGGCAGGGATACGGGAACGCTGGAGTTTCATTCCCACCCTGGAGGCGCAGCAATGCCACTGTCAGGGTCTGTGAGGCCTGCGATTTCATATTCTTTAGCAGAGATGAGAATCTGGGGCTGATTCTGTGAGGCTTGATATGCTCGAAGGGGAGTAAGGATCACTTTGACAGGTTGGCAGTGGGAATAAAACAGTTAATACATATGAGCAGTTCACATATTTCTATGCAAGGAAACAAAGGGCAGACCTAGATACAATTAGGAAAGGGGTTTTTAAAAGGTAGTAACGAACCTGACTTAATTTCTTCCTCTCTCTTCAGGAGTCAGCTCCCAGATCCAGCTGACACAGTCCAGAGCAGAGGTTAAGAAGCCTGGGGAGTCGGTGAAGCTGAGCTGTAAAGCCTCAGGCTACACATTTACTGATTATAGCATGAACTGGGTTCGCCAGTGTCCGGGGAAAGCACTGGAGTGGGTAGGATACATCACCACGGATCAGGGCAGTACGGGCTATGCCGAGGCATTCAAGGGTCGATTCACCATCACCACGGACACCTCCATCAGCACAGCCTACCTGCAGCTGAACAGCCTGAAGACGGATGACACAGCCGTGTATTACTGTGCCAGGCGCACAGTGATACAAACCCCAGCTGGAGTCATTCAAAAAGCCCATGTCACACCCTCCTTGTCTCTTAGAGATACCGGGGCCCTTGGTCACCCTAATGAGCACTTACCCCATGGAGAAGGCAGCGGGTGCTTTCTGTCAAATGTGTCCCATGTCCAACCAATGGGATGTCCCAGCATCCTAGGTTGCTTCATCACAGAGCTGTGTTCCCATGTCACAGAGAGCTGTTAGGGAAGCAAGTAGATAATCCAATGCCTTTGAGTAGGTGGTTTGATGCAGAAGGAGTGTGTGGAGGTTTGGCCGAGCTGTGTGGAGTTGGATGGCACTTAGAATATATGGATTTACAGGACACTAAGGAACAGGACATCCTTCCTACTCAAATAGGTATATTTATAACTACTGCATCACTATTTACCACCTCCTCTTTTCCTGTGGAGAGAAATGTCACTGTGTCCCCCACAGGGAGGATCTGGGGAAAGGTTCCCAAGTCCGAGAGGGATTCCTGGGAGAGCCTCTGTTATTTTCAGTGGAAGTTTTACCTGTCTCAACTGGCATCTGCAGGGATCCTCCTCCTCCTCCTCCTTCAGATAAGTCCCGCTTGCAGGGCTGCTCTGAGAAGGGTGGATCTGCAATTTTAGCCTAACAGCAGAGTGTGATGAGAAACATTTGAGACGGGGCACATGAGGGGTCTTGGAGAAGTCCTCTAAACCAGGGGTGCTCAACTTCTGACCTGTGGGCCAAATGCAGCCTGTGGAGCAATGACACCTGGCCTCTGCAAGTCCCACAGCTTGGGAATTTTGGCAGCAGGGGAGCAGTGGCCATTAATACTGCCATCCTCCCCCACTGCCAAATTCCCATGCCTCCTCCTCCCAGAAAGCCGGGTCAGGGCTAAGCCACACACCCTTCCACCTTTGCTGCCAGTCTGGGACCAGGTCATGCCCCCACCCTCAGCAGAATAGATTGGGTCCAGGTCATGCCCACTTCCCATGTATGGCTGAATTAATGGCCTCCACTTCCACTGCAAGGTGGCCAGATGGTACCCTGCTGTTCTGGGCCCTGTTGACTAGGAATTGGGGTTGATAGGGATACTGTGAGGCCAATCTGGGTGGTGGGGGAAAGCACGGACCTAGTCAGGGCTAACTGGGGCTGCCAGGCCTAATGGGATCCTGCCAGGCCCCAGCTTCCCTCAATCTGGTCCAACTACCCTGTCCCTGAGATCAGGTGTGCTGGGCAGGCCCAGAGTCAGCTTGGCTCCTAACTCCTAGCATGCCCCTGCTCACTAGGGCAGTGATGGTCTTTGGATCACGCTTCAGATCTGGTGCCGCTTTGGACACTTCAGCATCCCAAGCAGCATGCCTGGATCAAAGCACGGGCTCAGTTAAGCTATCTGAAGCAGTTTGGAGTGTCTAAAGCACTTTGGAAATGCTTTAGATGCTTCATCCCCTGCCTGGGGCAGAGCCGTGTGCCTCAGCTGCGTGCCCCCTCCCTTCACAGGGCATTGAACAGCCCATGCCCACACAGGAAACGGGGGCCAGCTGGGAACACTGAGGCTGCCACAACCAGGGCCTACAAGACCTTTTGGCCCATGGCAAGGCTGGGCTCCAAAGGGTTAACCACCCTGGGCCACTCAGGTTTTCCACAAGAGCCAGAAGGATTTGACATAAGACAACAGACAAGTGCACGTCTACATGGTGTGATGAAGACGGACACACCGGATCCGTGCACGCAGCATTCCCCCGCACACACAGGTGTCCCGGCATGTGCAGAAACAACCGCAGTGCAACCATAAAGCACCAACTGCCCTGTTAGGAAAGGAAGAATTGTTATGCTCTGCTTCTTCCCCATTGCCCTCAATTCCCCATTTCAAAAGAGAGCCATTTTCCAAGACATGAAGGATATTCATAGCATTTAACTCTCACACCCTGGGATCCCTTCCTAGTGCAAACAAATGTATCCAGTTTCATTAGATTTTTGTATTCTGGGGGTACCACTCCCGCAGCTCCTATGAAACAAGTTGTCACTTGAATCCCAGGAGAGGGATTTTCTGAATAAAGTAAGGTACCCCCCCAGCTGCTGGGGCTCAGTCCACTCATTGAGCATTGGAGTAGCATGGACACATCCTTCACTGAGACACTGGATTTTTCCCTGGGAGATTTTTCCCTGGCAGGGCACGGGGATATTTCCTTGGCAGAGAGGGGAGGTCCCAGACCATGGGAGGTTTTGCCTTGATAATATCCAGTCAGAGACACAATCTGGAACTCCTCTAGATCTTTATTTGCTCCCCAGGCTCCTGGTTTTCTGGACCATTGGTCTGGTACAGTAACAAAGCCGACTCCCCATTTCCAGGTTTCCCCTTGGCTCTCAAAACCCCTGTAGTCAACAGCCAAACCTGCCTTGTGTGCGATCTGTGAAAGGCCCTTGTACAAGAAACACATGCAAATGTTGTTCCCCAATTTCCTGCTTAACGCATACAAGGTTCCTCCTTAAACACCAGCCCTGGCTCTGTGCACCTCAGTGTCTCCCCACAGCTGCCACCTCCTGTCTGCTGGGGACACCGGGCATCAGCCACAATGACCATGACACTAGCCCTGGCTTTGCTCATCCTTCTGGCAGCTCCACTGGGTAAGTGCCTCCTGTCCTGTGGGACAGGGGGATGCAGCGGCAGGATGAAAGTGAAACGGTTAGAAGTTTGTTCATTTGCTAATGCTGTATTTTTCTCCATTAGGTATCCTGGCCCAGGCCACACTGAAGGAGTCTGGCCCAGGGGTGGTGAAGCCCGGAGAGACCCTCAGCCTGACCTGCACCGTGTCTGGATTCTCTCTCACTAGCTATGGTGTGGGCTGGGTTCGACAGGCAGCAGGGAAAGGGCTGGAGTGGGTTGGAGGTATCTGGGCTGATGGAAACACCTACTATAACAGCACTCTCCAAAGCCGCCTCACCATCAGCAACGACATGTCCAGCAGCCAAGTGCACCTGCGCCTGACCGGGGTCCAACCTGGAGACACAGCCCAGTATTACTGTTCCAGGAACACAGTGAATGAAAATGCATGAGAGCCTGCACAAAAACCAGCCCTGCAGGACCGGCCTGCCTGTGTGAGCAGCAGAGGCAGCAGCTGCCAGCCCTGTGCTCTGCTGCCTGCTGGGTCGGACACATCAGGCCTTTTAGATCACTTGAACCAGCCAGGATTAAATCCAGGGAAGGAAGCTCAAAAGTGACCAGTGGGTCAGAATCTGATATTTAGCAAGGACCCAGGAGTCCTGTCCCAAGCTCCATCGTGCCCCTGCTCTGCCTGTCCTTCTGGCAGGAATACAAGGCAAAGACTCCCTAGGCTGGCACCCAGGACTCAGGCAACAGCCAGCAGACTGCTGCGCTGTTACAGGACTAGGGACACAGCTCTGTAGTCCTGATTAGCACCATCCAATTAACAGCTGACCCAATAGTCTTGATCCAAGTGAGGAGATTCCTGGCTAAGGAATTGATCAGGTGTATCTATCACCACCTTATCAATCCAGCAACTGCTTGTACTATGACTAAATAAGGTATCCCATACACTGTTGTGTAACTGAAACAAATTGAACGGTTTATTAATAATATAACAACAAATAAACAACAGGTACAATAAGCAACAGCACCAGGAACAAAAACCGACACCCAATACAACTATTCTTACAATTCCCCAAACCTATACCTAACTGATCTCATACCTATTTTAGTATTCAATCACCACAAACATTAGGACCTCAGAATCAATATCAACTCAGGGACAGGTATGAGCTTTATGATGTCAATGGAAAACTTTATTCAACGCTGGATCTCCGCCATCCCAGAACACAGGGAATGTAGATCACACTGAAAGTGATGATCTGATGGCATCTTACTTTCCGCTTTAGGGAAGGGAGGAGAAAGGAACGAGTGATGAGCAGGTGATACATACCCCAGAGGGCTCTTACTTCAGTGCTATGCACATCAAGGCAGAAACTGGGAGATCACAACCAGGAGACCAGCAGCAGTGCAGATGGCTGGAGTCTCAGGCTTAGAGCTCATTGGGGATGAATGCTAGCTCTATGACAGCCTTGCTGTCAAGGCTGTGCTTGTCTCATCCAACCTCCAGTCACGGCATAGCCCAAGGCACAACACCACACAACGATCACCCACACCAATACACCACAAAGACACTTCCACCTCGTTCATTCACCACGCTTCTATTGGTCTCTCTCTCTCTCGCACAGGTACCAAAAAACAAAACCAACCAGCAAACCATGAAATCCACCAGCCAGACCACACACGTACCACTCACACCCAGCCATGCTATCACGCACTCACGTGCTAAGGGTCAATCAACAAAAGTCTTTATGTGGCAGTGCGCCCTGCATGCCAGGGCTCTGCACATGGCACACCTTTGTGCTAGGCACTCTCTTCCAACATCTTCTCATCTTAACTGGGCATGCTGTCAAAGAAGAGCTCATCTCAGGCTCAACACATCACCACTTAGGCCAGGAAGCCAAACAGGTGGCTTGGCACAAGGGGTAATGATCCCCTCTCTCTCTGTCCCTTTCCACACAAGTCTTTTCTGAAATCCAGCTCATTGAGTGCAGCCCAGGGGTGCTCCCTGACAGCTGCAGACACCAGCACATTATCACTGTGCCAGGAGCACAGAGCGGGGTGGGGCCGCCACCCAAGGGGGAAGCAGGCTGAGCACTGCTCCCTTGCGCCCATCCCCGCCTCCTGCCCTGCACTGTCTCCCTGCTCAGCAGCAACCAAGTGCAAGAGCTGAGCCCAGTCCAGGCCCCAACCTCCAGAGCCCAAGGGGGAAGCAGGCTGAGCACTGCTCCCTTGCGCCCATCCCCGCCTCCTGCCCTGCACTGTCTCCCTGCTCAGCAGCAACCAAGTGCAAGAGCTGAGCCCAGTCCAGGCCCCAACCTCCAGAGCCCAGCTTGCCCCTCCTGCACTGCCCATAAACCCTCCTGGGTGATTTCCATGAGGTCAGCCCCTATTAGTTCAACCCATGTGGGGAAGTGCTAGGAGGGGGGAGTCTCCCAGAGATGACACCCAGGACCTTGCACACACAGAAGACAGAGCACTGCACACTTACAGTAACTTCCTCCATACCATGAACAGAGCCCAGGACAGTCCCAACACACACCCACTGTGCTCTGATCTCAGGGCTGCAGCAAAAGCCACCAGCCCAGACACACAAAGGCAGCTGCTGGCTAGAACCAGGACCTTCGACCTCCCTGTCTTTCCCCATCTGCCACTGCAGCTTTACTGAGAAAAGCACAAGAGGCGGGGATGTGGATAGAGGCTGGGGCAGAACCAGGTACCATGTAGGCTCCGCAGAACTGCCCCACTCTCCAGCCCCTTTGGGCGAGCTTCACCCCGAGTCCAAACGCCATAGCTTTAAAAGGCTGCAGTGAGGCACGGAGGCAGGGAGCAGGCAGAGCACAGCTCCTGCCCACCCTTGCCCCGTGCAAAGATTGGGAGCCACATGCTGGCTGCTTATGAGCTACTTCAGATTATATCCTTCTGCATACAGATGGGTTTGTGGCAACAGACTGTACTGTCAATGCAGCTATGTGACCGCATCAGTCCACACCGTGAAAATTTACTGTGTAGATTTAATTTAAAATGGAAAAAAGTCAGGTTCTTTCTTTACAAGGATATATAATTTTATTCAGTGTTTGATGACATTTTTTTTTATATTAGACTCATATGGATATTTGTCATCAAGACACTGAAGAATGAGAAACTGATGCCAGTGTCTCAAGACTCTTTTCTCCCAAATGATTCAGTTTTGCAGAATTGCCAAGAGTGCATATTTCAAGGTTTTTAAATAATTGGGTGAGCATAGTAGCAGCAGAATCAGTTGTTAATTTCTGCAGGTTTAACACCAGGGTGTATGGCATTTGAGAACTTAAATCAGTGTGAAAAAACTGAGACCAGAATCCTGCTTATCTTACAGTTGATAAGATAACTAATCAACTGCAGTTGATAAGTTGGTCCCCCCTCCTCCCCTTCCCCCCCAATACTTGCCAAAAGCGGGAGGCAGAACGGAAGCAGCGTGCTCACGGACCGAAGCAGCGTGCTCAAGGACTGAAGTGACGCGCTCGAGGACCAAAGCGGGGCACATACAGATCACTACACCTTACAGAGAACATTGGAGATGAATCTCTTCCGCCTCCACAAGAGAAGGCTGAGAGGTGCTCTTCTGGCCATCTACAAACTCATCGGGGGTGCGGGGGAGGAGAGTAGGAAATAGGGGATACGATGTTTACCAGGCCCCATCGGGGTACCTAGAAAGAATGGCCACAAGCTGAAGGAGAGCAAATTTAGACTGGGAATGAGAAGAAAAAAAACCTCTTTACAGTGAGGGTTGCCAAAATA